TGAGAAAACGGGTCCGGTAAAACAAGCCCGCAGCGCCTATACGGGAGTCCCCGATTTCTGTCACACTCATCGACGCTGCGTGGGCCTTGCTATATTATAGCGGCAATGTAGATGTAGGCCATATAATTATGCCATATTATATGCTCCTTGTTTGTTTTGGAGTGTGTTTTTTTTATTAAAATTTTAAAAAAATATTTTGGACTTGTGCTGGCCTTTTTACATGAGAAAGTGGCTATTCTCACCCGCCCGGAAGTTCTCGCAAGATCAACTCCTCCCCTCTTCTCTCTCTCTCTGTCTCTTTCTGAATACTGTCTATCGGTGTGGACGATCAAATTGACCAAAACAAATTTAAAAAATGATGTTAAAACCCAAAAGTAAATTAATTTGGTTGTCTACAAAGATGCTACGGCTATTTAACTTTTCGAATCGAGCCGAACTACGCGGGTCGCCATTTTGTTTTGCCCGGAAATTCTCGCGCTACTTCTCTCTCTCTTTCTCTCTCTCTCTCCACTGCCCACAGACAAAATTGTACGCTTTTAGTAGGCTACAGTTGTAATGGAACGTTTGTTCACGGCACAGAATTCTACAATTTTTCTGTTATCACAGTGTAGAATTCTGTTGTTTAGGGTGAACGCAGAATTTGGTGAATGCGCACCGGGTGAGAATAGCCACAAGACTCGCCTGCACTATTCTCACTCCGGGTGAGAATAGAGGTGGCCTTTACATGAAGCCCGTTGCAGGTTCTTTTTTGGGGTAGGCCTAGGGGTAGGGTTAGAGTTAGGTCTCTTCTTTATTGTGTTTGTTGGGGTTGTCGCTCGTTACTCGGAAGTCCTTCCTTATGACACCACAAAATTGACAAAAGCTCTTATTGGGGGGGGGGGGGGGGGGGGGTGCGCAACATTTTCAGACAATCTGGTTGAGGCTCACATGCAGGTCTACTCTTCTTACTCACCCATTATTTTTGTTTGTTTTCATCCTTCCTTCATTGGGACCTTTTCATTCGAACCCCCCGGGCAGTGAAGTGTCTTTAGACCATTCCCAAAGGGGGGGCATTAACATCTCAAGCTCTTATGCACAGTCGAATTGTAATTGTAAATGGGCTGGTTCATCAATGTCATGCTCATAACTGTGACTGAACTGCAACAGGGAACTTCTGCTTTTTCTTTCCTAATCCTTACTATCATCATTTTTCCTCTACTTCTTTTGTATGTTTTGTCACACTCTTGTGACCCACTATTTCTGGGGTGCCTTGATAGTCAAAGCAGACTTTGTGCTGTTGAAGCTAGAGAGGTGAGCAGAGTAAGTCTTGATTCCCTGTAAGGACTTCTCTGTTGACGTCCACCCCTTGGCGCTCATATGACCTTATGCAGTTGTGAGCGCCGTAAAACCTCCTCTAAAACTAAAGTTCCTCCTCTCTTCCCCAGAGATCAGCTACACCTGGTACAAGGGAGACTCCTACAGCTTCATCCGGCCCAACTTCCAGAAGCACACCTTCATCTCCTCCAACAGTAAGCTGTATTTCTCCGAACTGACGCCCTCTGACCAGGCGACATACTACTGCGTGGCGACCTTGACAAGTGTCGGCGCCCCGGGGAATTATCTCGGGGCCTACCAGACCGCTAGTAGGACGAGTGTGGGATTTAATCTGATTGTGGGATCTGGGAGTAAGTTCTGGTGGTGGTTGTTGTTGTTACTGCTTCTGTTGTTGTTGTTGCTGTTGTTGATGTTGATGGTGTTGTTGCTGTAGCCACTATTGTGGTTATTGTTGCTGCTGTTGTTGAGTTGTTTTTACTGCTGCTGCTGCTGCTGCTGCTGCTGCTGCTGCTGCTGCTGCTGCTGCTGCTATTATTGTTGCTCTCTAACACACACACCCAAGTACATGCACACAAACGCACACACACGAGTACACTTACTCCTTGGGTGGTTGGCGGGTGCACTGGTTTTGTTTGCTCCTTCTTTTCTATTGGACAGCTGTCATCCTTATCTCTCATTGTTTTTGTATTTGTCACTAACTTGTAACACCTATAATAATATTTATAATATCCGGCGTTTATATGGCCTAATTTTGTTACAAGTGCCGTAAAACGCTTACTTAAACAGCTGCTCCCTCACACAAATAAACACAAGCTATGCCCCCAGGGCAGTGTTACTGACTGAAGTGTCTTTAGGCCATTCCCAAAGGGGTTTTTATGTTTTTATGTACAATAGAATTGTAACTGGACTGATTTATCAATGTCATGTTCATACTGTGCCCAAACAACATTGGGGGAACTGCTGCTTTTTCTTTCCTCATCCTTACAATTGTCATTTTTCCTCTACTTCTTTGTATCTTTGTCACACTGTTGTGAACTGCTATTTCCAGGGTGCCTTGATAGTTCAAGCAGACTGTGCTTTTGAGGCTAGAGAGGTGAGCAGAGTAAGCCCGATTCCCTGTAAAGACTTCTCTGCTGACGTCCTCCCCTTGGCGCTCATATGACTTTATGCAGTTGTGAGTGCCATAAAACCTTACTAAAACAAAAGCACAAGCTAGTGGGCTGTTGGTGGGTGTTCTGGTTCTCAGCAAACCATCCTGTCTTATCCGGGACCCTTTTAAAAACGTATTTGTGTTGCAAGTGCTGTGACTCTTACTTTAACTAAAAAACATGATCTGTATCACGAGTTGTCCTCCCTTGTTATCGCATCGCAGCGGGCAGCAACTACGAGCCAGACATCCAGGACGACTTCATCAACATCTACCCTGGCACGCCTATGAGAGGAGGGACCGTACGCCTCGAGTGTTTTGCCTATGGAACGTGAGTCAAATAGCACGCATGGCGCTCTATGACCTTATGCTGGGGCGAGCGCCGTAAAACCTCTACTAAAACAGCAAAAACCACCCCCCAAATATCACACACAGAGAGACCTCGGTGCTTTCTTGTCTTATCGCTATTTTTTTAATGAATTGTTTTCACTATAATTAAAAATGGAGATAGGACAAGGAAGCACTGAGGTCGCGAGAGGCTGTGGGTTGTAGTTTGGAAGGGGATCGGGTGGGGGGGGAGGGGGGTGAGTTCAGTCCAGATTTCCTGTTAAAGGCCTAGTTTTTCGGGGTGGAGGGGCGGCTGGGTCCAACGTGTTCTTGGCAAAGAAGACATTTTATCCAAATTTTCTCATTAGACTTGGTCCTATCAGAGATGGACGTTAAATTTGGACATCAAAGTTTACCCTAGTGCAACACCCCCCCCCCCCCCCGTCCCTCAAGAGAAGAGACCATATGCTTGGAGTGTTTATTTGCTTGTGGAATATGGGTCAAACACGGTAAGGGGATGAGAGGGTTGCAGGTCCTTTTTTTTTGGGGGGGGGGGGGTGTGACTCAGTGATGACTGGCACTTTTGTTTTTGGATTTGTTCTTTATGCAAACAATCTACTCAATGCTTACTTACTTGCTTACTGACTTACCTACTTGCTACATGTTACGCCATCTGGAGTTTAGGGCTGCAACAAAGGATCTCCAGCTCTATCTGTTTCGGGCCATCTTGGTCAACGTCCTCCACGAATGGTTCCAGGACTTCATTTCAGACTTTACTGTGCGTCTCCAAATCATCTACTCTATAATGACGTTTAAATTTTGGAGGAGGGGGGGGGGGGGTTTGGTCTTTACAAAAACGACTACCATTTGTTCTTTACAAAAATGACTACAATTTGTTCTTTACAAAAACGACTACAATTTGTTCTTTACAAAAATGACTACAATTTGTTCTTTACAAAAACGACTACAATTTGTTCTTTACAAAAACGACTACAATTTGTTCTTTACAAAAACGACTACAATTTGTTCTTTACAAAAATGACTACAATTTGTTCTTTACAAAAATGACTACAATTTGTTCTTTACAAAAACGACTACAATTTGTTCTTTACAAAAACGACTACAATTTGTTCTTTACAAAAATGACTACAATTTGTTCTTTACAAAAATGACTACAACTCGGTGGTGACTGTAAATAAGTTTTGTTAATTTATTTACATCAAATTTTTAGCCTTTTAGCATGTTAGTAGAGGTGTTGACCAGAATCGGGCTGTGCAGTGTACTGTTGAGAACAGAACCACCTTTTTTCGCGCGCTCATGTGACTTTATGCAGTTGCGAGTGCCGTAAACATTTACTAAAACAAACAAACGACTCCATGATGACTATGTGTGTAAGTTTTGTTGGACTTTTCCCAGACTCCCGCTCATCTACTCGTGGAGTCGTAAGGGCAAGCCGCTTCCTGCAGGCCACACGTTCGACAGCAACAACCGCATCCTGTACCTGTACGACGTGGGGGCGGAGGATGACGGGATCTACACCTGCAGCGTGTTCAGCCAGCCAACCAGCATCAAGAAGGAGACGTCCACACCCCTCACCATTCAGTGTACGTGATGACCGTAGCTGTATATGTATATGTGAGGCAGCGTGGTGAAATCAGGGGCTCGTCAAAATAGTAAAATCAAAGAAATCTGCCTTTCTTTGGTCGATGGGCAATTTTTTTCTAATTTTCTTTAACCTCTTTACTTTTTTTGGCTCAACACCTTTTATGTTAATATAAAAGCATGTTTTTGTTGGATTTTTACTGTAAAACATTGATGAAAGGCACAGAAAATGTAAATTTTGAGTTTCCAAGGACTACCAGGCTATGGAAGTTACCAAACTTTAGCGGCCATTTTCTCGCTAATGTAACCACTGAAACCAGACTACCCCACCTTCTTCAATCGCTAATATCTCGACTTGTATTCAGGCTAGGTGGACATTTGTTTTTGAAAGCAGGATAAATGAATAAACATTCAATGATATGGCGCATGTTTTTTAAAATCTCAGAGTAGAGAAGTAAATGTTGTTGGTGGGTGGTTGGAGGGTGCTCTGGTTAAGTTTGCTCCTTTTTTCCTATCAAACATCTATCGTCCTTATCTCTCCTCTTTCTTTTCTTGTGTTTGTTATTCCCTTGTAACACCTCTAATCTTCGGCACCTATATGGCCTTATTGTGTTGCAAGTGCCGTAAAACTCTTACTGGGGGCTCTCGTGGCCTAGAGGTTAAGGTGTTGGCCTCTCATTCAAAGGTCCCGGGTTCGATTCTGGGTAGCGACCAAAAAATGTTCTTCTCTAAAATTGTCTCCTTTCACATCCTTTCCTGATCTCTAACAATGTTCTGTTGTCTGCTTTCATTTCCACTTTCTGCCCCCGCCCCCTCACCTCCTTTGCCCCCTCCTCTGGGCTCCTGACTCTTTCTGCAGCCTTTCTACTGCTACTCCTTGGCTCCTCCTAACTGCTGTCTTTCTGCCACACCCCTGATCTTCTGGTAGGAAAGATGTACACCTAGCCTTCTCGGACAAGGGCGAAAAATCTCGGAGGGCCCGTGTGCAAGTTGCGCACATTAAAGATCCCTTGGTGGTCTAGAATCGATAAGAGTAGGCTTCGGCCGCCACCCGGTTTGCTTCTTCTTTTCTATCAAACGTCTATCGTCCTTATCTCTCCTCCTTCTTTTTTTGTGTTTGTTACTCTCTTGGAACACCTCTAATCTTCATCACTTATATGACCTTATTGTGTTGCAAGTGCTGTAGAACACTTACTAAAGCTAAACATACCCTCTGAATCCACAGCTCATTTTTTTTTAAGCCTTACCTTGCTTCCCGTACCCTCTGTGGGTGGTTGGTGGGTGCAAGTGCCGTAGAACACTTACTAAAACTAAACTCTTTTTTTCTTTTTTTTTTTAGCTGAACCATACTTCACGAACCCGCTGCACCATCAGCACGTTTCTTTTTCCTTACTTCACACTTTTCTTTTTTCCCCCTTTTTTTTAGCCAAATCATACTTCACATTTTTTTTCTTTTTTAGCCAAACCATTCTTCACACTTTTTTTTTCTTTTTTAGCCAAACCATACTTCACATATTTTTCTTTTTTCTTTTTTTTTTTTTTTTAGCCAAACCATACTTCACATTTATTTCTTTTTTAGCCAAACCATACTTCACGTACCCGCTGCATCATCAACACGTGGACGTTCGCAGCGCACTGACCTGGCATTGTGAGGCTGGGGGGCGACCCACACCCATGTATAAGTGGTACAAGGATGGGGAGGTGAGTGTGTGTGTGCGTGTGTGTGTGTTTGTGTGTGAGTGTGTGTGTGTGTGTGTGTGTGTGTGAGTGTGTGTGTGTGTGTGTGTGTGAGTGTGTGTGTGTGTGTGAGTGTGTGTGTGTGTGTGTAAATGTGTGAGTGTGTGTGTGTGTGTGTGTGTGTGTGCCATGTATAAGTGGTACAAGGACGGCGAGGTGTGTGAGTGTGTGTGTGTGTGTGTGTGTATGCGCGTTCGTGTATGTATGTGTGTGTTTGTATGTGATGCGATGGAGAAAGAGAAAAAGGAGATGTTGAAGTGATTCTCTCAAACGGAAACTTTTATGACCTTATTGTGTTGCAAGTGCCGTAAAAAACTTACTAAATCTTTAAAAAAACTCAAACTGAATGTTTTTGTTTTGTGTGTCAGGAACTGTCCAGCTCCCCGGGCGTCCAGGTCCAGGCCAACACGCTGACCATTGACTCGCTGCAGGTCGACCGGGACAGCGCCATGTATCAGTGCGCCGCCACCAACGAGTACGGAACCACGTTTAGCACCGCCCAGCTACGAGTCCTCGGTGAGTAGTTGGTAAACGTTGTTCTGTTTTTCTTTGGGATGTTTTAACCCTAAACGTACGTCGTGTTTTACTATCGTATCCATACGACATGGGGAACTCTGTGCCACCACTTAACCCTATCCGTACGTCGTGTTTTATTATCGTATCCATACGACGTGGGGAACTCTTTGCCACCACTTAACCCTATCCGTGCCACTACTTAACCCTATCTGTATGTCGTGTTTTACTATCGTATCCATACGACGTGGGGAACTCTGTGCCACCACTTAACCCTATCCGTACGTCGTGTTTTACTATCGTATCCATACGAAGTGGGGAACTCTGTGCCACCACTTAACCCTATCCGTTCCTCTTTTTTTACTATCGTATCCATACGACGTGGGGAACTCTGTGCAACCACTTAACCCTATCGTACGTCGTGTTTTACTGTCGTATCCATACGGCATGGAGAATTCTGTACCACACTTTCCAAAGAGGAAATTTACTTGTTAATCTGATCTGTACGCTTTGCATAGCAGTCTGTCAAAACGATGTTTTGAAAAATACTGAAAGTTTCTAAGAGATCTTTGTACTAGAAATATTCTGAAATGTGAAGAATACCACCCCAGGGGTACAGAATGACTCCTGGACGTACGGATAGGGTTAATAAGTAAATAGGAATATTATGGCCTGATGTTTTTCTTTGAGATGTTTTATTAAGTAAATATATACATAGATATTATTTGGTAATATTTTGTTTTACGTACATGCATGTCGATTAATGGTTACGATGTGATGTCTTTTTGGATGGAATGCTCATTGAGCATTTTTTTAGACAATAGAAATGCGCAGTATAAATGCTATTTATTATTATTATTCAAAAGGAAAATTAGGTCTTGATGTTTTTATCTGAGATGTCTTTTTGGTAAATTCAGGGGTGCCGTTTTTCCGTTATTTCCGGGTTTTTTTTTTCTTTATTTTGGGCTTCATCCCTTCTTAAGTCTGTTTTCTGTTCATCGATCCGTTCTACATTAACCACACACAAACACACACAAACACACACACACACACACACACACACACACACACACACACACACACACTCACAGACACCTGCATTACACGCACACATATACACGTATACATGCAATACACACACACACACATACACACACACACACACACACACACCTCTTCAGAAAGTATTCTCATATCTGCGTTGTGATTGTGGTTGGTAGGCGGGTGCTCTCAGCTATGGTGTGGTTTGCTCCTTCTTAACTGTCAAACATCTATTGTCCTTTTCTCTCCTCCTCCTTTCTTGTGCATGTTACTCCCTTGTAACACCCCTATTCTTCGGCACTTATATGGCCTTATTATGTTGCAAGTGCCGTAATACTCTTACTAAAACTAAAACATATCTACGTTGTGATCTCTCTCTCTCTCTCTGCCTTCAGAAAGTATTCTCATATCTCTCTCTCTCTCTCTGTTTTCAGAAAGTATTCTCATATCTATCTCTCTCTCTCTCTCTGCCTTCAGAAAGTATTCTCATATCTCTCTCTCTCTCTGTCTTCAGAAAGTATTCTCATATCTCTCTCTCTCTCTCTGCCTTCAGAAATTACCCCCAGCTTTTTGAAGTCGCCGATGGTCGAAAGCGTCTCTTCAGCTATCGGAGGCATGGCCACCATCGTGTGCGACCCGACGGCCGCCCCGCTGCCGACCTACACCTGGTTCCGAGACAACGTGGACCTGGGCTTAGTGGCCGGTCAGTTTGCGGAGGATGACCACTACAAGCTGCTGCTCAACGGAAACCTGATGATCCAGGACATAACGCAGAGTGACCAAGGAAAGTACAAGTGCCGGGTGACCAACGAGCTGGGGGAGGCTGAGGACAGCTCGGACTTGCTCGTCATGAGTGAGTTTGTGTCACGTTTGTGTCGCGGTTATGTCACGTTTGTGTCGCGGTTATGTCACATTTGTGTTACGGTTGTGTTGTGGTTATGTCACATTTGTGTCGCGGTTGTGTCACGTTTGTCTCACGGTTATGTCATGTTTGTGTCGCGGTTATGTCACATTTGTGTCACGGTTATGTCACATTTGTGTCACGGTTATGTTACATTTGTGTCACGGTTGTGTCATGGTTATGTCACATTTGTGTTACGGTTGTGTTGTGGTTATGTCACATTTGTGTCGCGGTTGTGTCACGTTTGTCTCATGGTTATGTCACGTTTGTGTCGCGGTTGTGAACGGTCGTGGGTGGATGGTTGAAAGGTGCTTGTGACAGCTGCGTATTGCCTCACATTATAAAAGATTAAAGCTTGTAAAAAAGACGAACCAACACAGCCTCTTTGCTCGCCTACCTGCCGGAAAACTGATTTATTATTTTTCTTTTACAATGAGATCTTATGTGTATTCAAAACGAGACAATAATACGAGACTGTGTCAAGCGCGATATCGAAAAATCGTTATTTCAATGATCGCAACATAGTTCATTCCCATTTTTACATTTTAAAACAACAGCATTCATTACAGTGCTCGAGTGTGTGTGGTTGGTTTTTTTTTGTTTTTTCTGGTAATTGTTTTATGGTGCTCGCAGCTGCATAAGGTCATATGAGCGCGTGGGACACACTAAACATTTTCAGTTGGTAGGAAATGTGGAATTTTGCCCGGGTGGCGGCCGAAGCCTACTCTTAATGATTTGAGACCATCAAGGGATCATTAACGTGCGCAACTTGCACACGTGACCTCTGAGATTTTTTTCCCTTGTCCAAGAAGGCTAGGTGTAGATCTTTCCTACCAGAAGATAAGGGGTGTCGCTGAAAGACAGCAGTAAGAAGGAGCCAAGGAGTAGCAGTAGAAAGGCTGCAGAAAGGGTCAGGACCCCAGAGGAGTGGGCAAAGGAAGTGAAGGGGTGTGGGACAGAAAGAGGAGACGAAAGCAGATAACAGAACATTGCTAGAGAGCAGGAAAGGAGGTGAAAGGAGATAATTTTAGAGAAGAAAATTTTTCGGTCACTACCTGGATTCAAACCCAGGACTTTTGATTGAGAGGCCCGCACCTTAACCTCTAGGCCACGAGAGCCCCCCCACAAAACATACGAATGTAAGACACCTTCGTGATGGGCTTACTTCCCCGCAAAGACACTGTCTTATAATTTTTCTCTGTTTTTCTTTTTGTCCAGAGCGGACAACGATCACTACAGGCCCGTCGGATGCCGATGTAGAGGTGAACTTCACGGCTACCCTTCTGTGTGAGGCGTCCCACCGATCCGACATCGACATGATCTATATTTGGAAGTTCAACGACCACATTATTGACTATGTCAGGGAGCCGGAGTATCGGCAGGTGAGTTTCTCTGTCTGTCTGTCTGTCTGTCTGTCTGTCTCTCTCTCTCTCTCTCTCTCTCTCTCTCTCTCTCTCTCTCTGTGTGTCTCACCCCCTTCCACATCTCCCCATTCTCTCTTTCCATCCTCTCCTTTCTCTTGCTCTATTTCTCTCTCTCTCTTTCTCTCTGTTTTTTGGTTTTGAAAAGTTGGCAGCTACGCATACATATATACCGTTGAAATTGTCTAACACAGCTACCCATTGTTGATGATAAAAGTGCTTGCCATACACAGGAGGATGCCTTACCCAGTGCGGCTAAAATGTTTTAAAAAATGCAAAGTGGGAAATGGAAAGTGGCCGTTTGTGCAGGTGATTGTCTTATACAGGTGTCTGTTAGAACAGGTGATTGTCTTATACAGGTGTCTGTTGGAACAGGTGATTGTCTTATACAGGTGTCTGTTAGAGCAGGTGATTGTCTTATGCAGGTGTCTGTTAGAACAGGTGATTGTCTTATACAGGTGATTGTCTTATACAGGTGTCTATTAGAACAGGTGATTGTCTTATACAGGTGTCTGTTAGAACAGGTGATTGTCTTATACAGGTGTCTGTCTTATACAGGTGTCTGTTAGAGCAGGTGATTGTCTTATACAGGTGTCTATTAGAGCAGGTGATTGTCTAATACAGGTGATTGTCTTATACAGGTGTCTGTTAGAGCAGGTGATTGTCTTATGCAGGTGTCTGTTAGAACAGGTGATTGTCTTATACAGGTGATTGTCTTATACAGGTGTCTATTAGAACAGGTGATTGTCTTATACAGGTGTCTGTTAGAACAGGTGATTGTCTTATACAGGTGTCTGTCTTATACAGGTGTCTGTTAGAGCAGGTGATTGTCTTATACAGGTGATTGTCTTATACAGGTGATTGTCTTATACAGGTGTCTGTTAGAAGAGATGATTGTGTTATACAGGTGATTGTCTTATACAGGTGTCTGTTAGAACAGGTGATTGTCTTATACAGGTGATTGTCTTATACAGGTGTCAGTTAGAACAGGTGATTGTCTTATACAGGTGTCTGTTAGAGCAGGTGATTATCTTATACAGGTGGCTGTTAGACAGCAGGTTTGGCTGTATTTGTGTATTCAGGGATGCCACTTTTCCGCCTTTTTCAAGTATTTGCGGTATTTTGGTCCTGATCCGCTATTCCGTTATTAACATCGAGATAGAATCTATTGTTGAAAAAAAACCCCAAAAACCCACACACACAACAACTTGCGCCAAATGTTCAAATTTCAAATAACGGAAAAACGAAGACTTTCTTTAAATTTTGTCTTTTCTCTTTATGTACACCCATTGCTTATGTTTGTTAATCATTTCTCTCTATGTACACCCTTTGACCTTCGGGTTTCAAATTGATATACATATGTTAGCGAGACCGTGGTGCGTTGATTTTCAGCTATTTAAAGAAAAAGTTGAGTGGCATCCCTCTGTATTTATGCCATTTTCAAGTAAATTTCCCCTCGAGGTTAATTAAAAATAGTATATCACTTTTATTCGTTTGACTAAATTGCTACTTCTGTAGTATTGTGCGTTTGTTCTCATGGTGTTGGATAAAGTGAATTTTCTGTTGTAATCATAAAAAATAGAGCATTATTTTATCGTCCTTATCTCCCCTCCTTCTTTTTTGTGTTTGTTACTCTCTTGTAACACCTCTAATCTTCAACACTAATATGATAAATTGTTTTGCAAGTGCCGTAAAACACTTACTTAAATAAAAAAAATTGAATTTGCGGTTGTAAATTTTGATTCATTTGATTGACTTACCACTACTGTTGTATTATGTTTGTGCTCAGGGCGTTGGCTCCCAGGCAGGCTCTCTATACATCATTGCCTCCAAGTTTGAGAACCAGGGAGTGTATACGTGTACCGCAAGTACAGGCATGGATGAGGATTCGCGGTCTGCCTACATCACTGTCTTAGGTGAGTGGGGAGGGACATGCATACACACACACACACACACACACACACACACACACACACACACACACACACAC